ATGTCATGACGCGGTCGACTAAGGCGCGTTTGGGATCATCCCGGACGTAGGTTCGAACCCTCATCATGGCCCTTGTGGATTTGTTCATCATCATCATTTCACACATTTTTAATATGCGTGGTTTGGGTAAACCCAAATGCTGACAATTGCTTCAAAATTTCGACGCGTTAGCATGGCAAGGTTGCAGTACTTTCTCGTAGTATTGCGTATGTATAACGTGGGTGAAGCGTTTATAGACGACGATTCGAAGAGAGGACGTCAGCGAACAACCCGTCCTCGACTCCGTCCATTACATCCAGCGGCCAACCCCACAGACGCATTCATACATTTTAACATGCTGATCACCCAAAACGGGAATTTTCTCAAATATAAGTTAATATCATAATATATTAGCATATTGTGCATATATATAGGCATAGGTTAGGTGTTTAGGTTCTGTTGGCAATTATTTGTATTTGTAGTACGTGGGTGATGCATTTACAGCGTTGTGGTTCAAACAAAATTCGTTGGTGAAGTACTTGTTCCGGAAGCGTTCGAACGAAATCAGTTGTGAGTTGTGTATAAACCGTTTTTCATTCATAAACAGCTGGGGGGGGGGGGGGGGTTGGCGGGTGGATGGAATCACTTTTGGGTCTTTGTTTGGAGGACGGGCTGCACAATGCAATGATATATATATATATATATATATATATATATATATATATATATATATATATATATATATATATATATACATATATATACATATATATATATATATATATATATATATATATATATATATATATATATATATATATATATAACTTATATATTATATATATATATATATATATATATATATATATATATATTATATATATATATATATATATATTATATATATATATATATATATATATATATATATATATATATATATATATATATATATATATATATATTATATATATATATATATATATATATATTATATATATATATTATATATATATATATATATATATATATATATATATATATATATATATATATATATATATATATATATATATATATATATATATATATATATATATATATATATATATTATATATATATATATATATATATATATATATATATATATATATATATATATATATATATATATATATATATATATATATATATATATATATATATATATATATATATATATATATATATATATATATATATATATATATATATATATATATATATATATATATAATATATATATATATATATATATATATATATATATATACATATATATACATATATATATATATATATATATATATGTGTGTGTGTGTGTGTGTGTGTGTGTGTGTGTGTGTGTGTGTGTGTGTGTGTGTGTGTGTGTGTGTGTGTGTGTGTGTGTACATATACTCGCCATAAATAACCACGTTATCATGGCGCCAGAGATTTATTTACAATAAATCGACCAGTTGTCGTAAAAAATATATATATTTCCAAAGCTCAATACTCAGTAACGAGCTTTCTCTTGTCTCGCCTGGAACACTGAACAGTGAAACAGTACAATTGCCAAAAGACAAAATGTTCAGCTTGGCCATAAAGTCAGGCTTTTATATGGCTTGCCTTCAGCTTTGGTTTTATGTTCGTGCACTTTCAGCTTTTATGTATTTGAATTAGTTAGTTTTTCCTAACTACTTACACTCCTACTTACGACCATTCCGCTGCCGAGCGGACAGCACACTGTACTTGTGATCCTGTGATGCTGGGTTCGATCCCAGGCGCCGGCGAGAAACAGTGGGCAAAGGTTCTTTCACCCTATGTCCCTGTTACCTAGCAGTAAAATAGGTACCTGGGTGTTAGTCTGCTGTCATGGGCTGCTTCCTGGGGGTGGAGGCCTGGTCGAGGACCGGGCTGCGGGAACACTAAAAAGCCCCGAAATCATCTCAAGATAACCTCAAGATAAGAAGATACACTGATAGTTACAAGTCTGGCTGGACTGAATAGATGTGCCGCAGTGTTCGTCAATTATGCAGGTTTACGTTAGGTGTTTTCATTGTGTAACACGCACGCGCGCGCGCGCGCGCACCTGACCGAGGCGGCACGGGGGGGTTGTAGTTCTAAGGGCCTCAGTTAGATTCCCGGTCAAGGCAGAAGCTAATGAGTAGTGATTATTTCACCTGATGCTCCTCTTTACCTAGCAGTAAATAGGTACCTCGGAGTTAAACGTGTGTGTGTGTGTTAACTATTCACCTAGTTGTGTTTGCTGGGGTTGAGCTCTGTTCTTTCGGCCCGCCTCTCAACTGTCAATCAATCAACTTTTACTAACTTCTATTTGTGTGTGTATGTGTGTGTGTTAGAAATACATGTAGAAGATACTTTAGAAGACAATAGGTCAGGGGTCGGTATTATCAGACGGTTAGAAAGGCGAGGTCCTAGAGCTAATAACTCGATTCTGCAGGAATAAATAGTAAATAAATACACACGCACTCACACATCATTCTACACGTGACTATTGGAAAAGTTGGAAAAAAAACAGAGTGGCAAAGCTTTGGTAGACTCTAAGTGTCCCCGAGGTACGAAGAGTCTTTTGAGAGTCGCGAGAGAGCCTTCAAACGGGAATTCTTTTGCGTTCCGATCTCTGTATATGATCTAGAGGAAATATAATCCACAATATTTGCAGATGATGGTAGAATTATGGGTAAAAATCAATGAGGTGAAAGACTGCATGAAACAAGGTCATGGAAATGACCTTGTTAAACCGAATGGTCTAACAAGTGGCTACTTAATTTGAACTCGATCAAGTGCAATATAATGAGGCTGGATTCTTGGAATAAGACACAGATCACAGCTTTATCCGATCAGACAGAAAAACTTTCATGCATTCTGACATACAAAAAAGGGAGTCATCTCCCAGAAGTACTTATCTAATTAATATTATCAGTTGAATTGGGAGTAATTCAATATCAAGCTTGCCACATATCAAACCAACTCTGTCATACGCGGCGCCAGAACCAAGAGGCTTGAGTTATGAGGAAAGTTTAAGAAATTAAATCTCCAGTTATTTAGTTGACCAGAGCACACACTAGAAGGTGAAGGGACGACGACGTTTCGGTCCGTCCTGGACCAGGACGGACCGAAACGTCGTCGTCCCTTCACCTTCTAGTGTGTGGTCTGGTCAACATAATTTAGCCACGTTATTGTGACTCATCGCCTGCTCCAGTTATTTAATTGCAGTTATGGGGAGAAATAATTGCTGTATACAGAATATACAATGAAATACAGAACAGAATACACACACCATTTGTAAAGGATGGAACTCAATTGTTGTTGTTTCAAATTTGGCTACTCAGAACGAAGTGTCCATGTAGCACGGGCTATGGTGAGCCCGTAAAGGATGGAACTCAAAGGGGGATATAGATTTATTTCCTTTTTTCAGGTCAGATGTAAAGCATAAGAAATTTGCTAAACAATGAAGTAGTGGAGACAGACTCTGCCAACAACTTAAAATTTAGATACACAAAAGCCCAACAGCCTCGGAAAACAGTGTACTATTTAAATGTTTATAAATAAGCGAGATAAAAAGGTAGACGCTCAACTAGCCCAAGTTCGGATTGATGAGTACGTAGTACATTTAAAAAAAAAATTATTTGCATTTAGGTTATCATTTACAGATATTAAAGTTTTTTTTATTATATCATTCGTTTACGTAAATAATTGACTGTAAATTGTGTATAAACAATCCCAATTATAAATGTAAAAAGATTTATAAATAAGGTCCTTCAATCTGAGCTAATCGGATGAATAACTTTTCTTTCGTTCGTTTACAGGTAACTGAAGACTTACTGCGCATGAACGGAGCGCAATACGTCACCAACGGAGCGCAATACGTCACCATACGTCAGGTACGTTCCTGTCACTATAACCCTCGATTAATGGGCCGCGTTTTCCACGTTCAGGTAACCAACGTTCCAAAGTAACAGCTAAAAGAGGTCTACGTTTATTATTGTGTGCATCTTACTTGATAGGTTAGGTGGGATGATTGGGTTAGTACCTCTCTGTTTTTTTAGGAGATTTGATTAGAATCAAACGGCCGATTTATTTGTCCTAAATCGTGGGACATGTGATTAAGAATAGTTCACAAATAAACAAAATAATCGTATTATAGGCGATTTTTTTTCTGCTCTAATCACAAAATAAGGCGATTGGAGCAAAGGAAGGTAATCCCAGATAGCGATTGGAACAGTGAACATCATTCACAGCTTCAAATGCAGATACGACAGAAACCAAATGACTCACAAAACTGCTAGCACATTTATAGCACATTCTAGCACACACACACACACACACACACACACACACACACACACACACACACACACACACACACACACACACACACACACACACACACACACTATTAACGATGAAAATTTTCCTATATATCATCTAGTCGTGTCCTTAATACAGATGCGTGTCTTAGCTATTACACTCGTTAAACCCCGAGATTGCCTCGTTCTGCGTGTGCAACGAACAGCAGCCCGTCGAAGGTATCTGTTCTGAGCGGTTGGGAAAATGTTCTGTCAGACTAACGGAGACGTAGATGTCAAGAACCCCGTCATGGGATCATTGTATCACCATTGACAACCAAAACTGAAAAGACTGCGTTCTTGTAATTCCAGAAATAAACTATTTTTTTCCACCCCTCACATGGTGTATCGATTTATTTAAATCAAAGAATTGAGTGGCTTGCCAACATCTCATCTCCCAGCTTAAAGTGGCTTCGGTAATGGATTTCTGTAATAATCGTCGGCTCAAACTTTCAGAGAAGTTTCATCATTTATTACGGAAAAAAACACTACCCAGGAATCTTCTTGAAAGGAGCATTGTTAACTATTTTCAGCTTCTTTATTTCCCTTTGAGATAAAAACTCCCAAAGAGCTTTGAAGATTTATTAGTATTTCAATAGATATTTATCTTTGACAGCTGTGTGATGAAATTATATGAGTCTTCGTTTGAGTAACGTCTGAAAATGAGACAAGTATATGGATTAAATCATCTGAAATACTTGTACCTGCATTTTATTCCTGAATTTAATTCAGGGAACAATAACAAGATAAATTATTCACCGCAATGTGTGTGCTTTGTATATCTGTTTTTTTAATGTTTAAGCACATTGGTAAAACATAAGTAAACAACTCAGGGGGTTACAAAACGAAATAAAATTACAGATATTTTATTAATAATTCATTTGCTAAATTAATTTTTAACAAGTAGCCACGACGCAAAACAAAATAATTTTAGCGAAAAAAAGTAAAATGTTTGTATGAACACTACTTGATACATAGAGAACACCTGTTACATAGAGAACACCTGTTACATAGAGAACACCACATGATACATAGAGAACACCTCCTGTTACATAGAGGACACTTGTTACATAGAGAACACCACATGATACATAGAGAACACCTCCTGTTACATAGAGAACACCTGTTACATAGAGAACACCACATGATACATAGAGAACACCTCCTGTTACATAGAGAACACCTGTTACATAGAGAACACCACATGATACATAGAGAACACCTCCTGTTACATAGGGAACACCTGTTACATAGAGAATACCTGTTACATAGAGAACACCTCCTGTTACATAGAGAACACCTGTTACATAGAGAACACCACATGATACATAGAGAACAGCTGTTACATAGAGAACACCACCTGTTACATAGAGAACACCTCCTGTTACATAGAGAACACCTCCTGTTACATAGAGAACACCTCCTGTTACATAAGAGAACACCACCTGTTACATAAGAGAACACCACCTGTTACATAGAGAACACCTCCTGTTACATAGAGAACACCTCCTGTTACATAGAAAACACCTCCTGTTACATAGAGAACACCTGTTACATAAAAGAACACCACCTGTTACATAGAGAACACCTCCTGTTACATAGAGAACACCACATGATACATAGAGAACACCTGTTACATAGAGAACACCACATGATACATAGAGAAAACCTCCTGATACATAGAGAACACCATCTGATACATAGAGAACACCATCTGATACATAGAGAACACCACCTGATACATAGAGAACACCACCTGATACATTGAGAACACCACCTGATACATAGAGAACACCACCTGATGCATAGAGAACACCATCTGATACATAGAGAACACCTGATATATTAAGAACACCTGATATTTTTCTTGTTATGTATCAGGTGGTGATCTGTAACAGTACCTAGAACACGGCCGTTGTGGCGTCTGTCACTTCATTCGTCAGACTGCGAGCAGCGGCGTCTAACAGTCTGGTTGATCAAACTCGAAACCAAAAGGCCTGGTTAGAGGCAGAGCCGCAAGAACATTGATCTTCTGAATCACTTTACGCTAATTGATCACAGTATGATCAAATCTTTGAGACAATCATCACAGAACCGAGCATTAAACAAGACGCTGGTTCGATCCCCCGTTCGACGTTATTGGGATATCATTGTCTCTCCAAGGTGTGCTTCCAAAGTGAAGCCCCTTGTCAAGAGTTGACAAACGTCAAATTTGAAGTGGGTTTGGCCTGGCCCTAACCTTAAGGCTATGAACCTTGCCAACCTACTAAATTTAACCCATGAAGGCAGATGCCTGTTACTCTGGAGAATATTAGTGCATGACAATTTTGACGATTAGTTACAGAGGCATTCGATTAGTTATAAGTTCGTGTGTGTGTGTGTCCTTTATCCTCCTGCGTCAAACATTCACTCCTGACAGAGTGAATTTCTTATGAGGCATAGTGTGTAAAAACTTAGCCCAGGTGCAATATATCCAAATATATTTCTCTTTGCATGTATATTCTGCAATAATTGATAGGCTCTGTTAGAAATTTCTTCTTTTAGGTATGTAGTAACTGGGCATATACCCACCGGTTGAGTATATCTGTATATTCGCTGAATCCACCCCAATTACCGAGTTATTCCACACCCCCGTTGGACGCATACCCAATGAACGCACACCCATTGGTCGCATACCCAATGAACGCACACCCATTGGACGCACACCCACTCCCCCCACACACATTCACTGGACGCACAACCACTTCCCACACACACTCACTGGACGCACAACCACTCCCCACACACTCTCACTGGACGTACACCCACTCCCCCACACACACTCACTGAACGCACACCCACTCCCCCACACACACTCACTGAACGCACACCCACTCCCCACACACACTCACTGGCCGCACACCCATTCCCCACACACACTCACTGAACGCACACCCATTCCCCACACACACTCACTGAACGCACACTCTGAAACAGGTTGCAGCCAATTTTAGCATCATTTTTAATCACTAACAATTTCAAAAGCCACACTAGTGGCTTTTGAAACTAAGGCGCTTACCGTAGTCTGGGGCTAATTATTCTGGTAAAAATTGTGCAATACTACCAGTTATAACTAGAAGAGCACAGGTATATCTCTAAGGTCGTGAATCTACTAAAAAACTCCAGCAGACTCCAAATATTTTGAATAAAAAATCTGTAAAATCATTGAAAGTGTTTGTTGTTATTGAAATGGACTCACCGAAATGTGGTTATCTTCTTGAGGTTATCTTGAGATGATTTCGGGGCTTTTTTTAGTGTCCTCGCGGCCCGGTCCTCGACCAGGCCTCCACCCCCCAGGAAGCAGCCCGTGGCAGCTGACTAACACCCAGGTACCTATTTTACTGGTAGGTAACAGGGGCATAGGGTGAAAGAAACTCTGCCCATTGTTTCTCGCCGGCGCCTGGGATCGAACCCAGGACCACAGGATCACAAATCCAGCGTGTTGTCCGCTCGGCCACCCGGCTCCCCTGATTGAAAAAATGTTGTTGATTGAAAAAATAGATCCTGAGCCCCTCCTCTGTTTCACCACCTGCCGGTTACAGAACGTAAGCTACAATGACGTCGTTGCAAGCCAAAGGGAGAGAGAGACACAACCCACAGATCTGGAAATAAATGAAGCGACGAGGTTTCGGTCCGTCCGAAACTCCCAGCAAGCATAAGAAATATTGCCGGAACAACCGTGGACATTTTCAAGAGGAAACTAGATTTATTCCTCCAAGGAGTGCCGGACCAACCGGGCTGTAGTGGGTATGTGGGCCTGCGGGCCGCTCCAAGCAACAGCCTGGTGGACCAAACTCTCACAAGTCGAGCCTGGCCTCGGGCCGGGCTTGGGGAGTAGAAGAACTCCCAGAACCCCATCAACCAGGTATCAACCAGGTATCAACCAGGACCATTTATCAAGTCGACTTGATTATGGTTCAATTGTCAGTGTCTAAACTGTCGGTTGGTTAGTGCAAGTGACTCCCGATTCTCATTTTGCTTGTCATATTCTCTGATAAAACCGTAGTGAAGAGTTCGTTGTCAGTATATTCTCGGGTTGCGTGTTCCTTCACAGCCCCAGTGCTCAAACAATATTTGTAAACATCAGTCGTACCGGGGAGTAGGCTATAATCAGGTGTAAGCGCAAGGATGGTATATCTCTATATAGAATTTTGAATGGGGTTTGAGGATATAACGATAACAAAGGCACGAGGCTCATGACCTGAAACTTTGACCTCTCCAAAAAATTGTGTGTATATATTGTGACGGGAAAGTGTAGGAGTGTAGATGTTCGGCAGTCCTCCAATGGCAGGTGTCAATGCCTAGTCACACTTAACAAAAATAAAAAAATATATAGACTGCTTGCCTGTCTGTGTGTCTGTGGTAAAGTAAGGGAAGACACGCAAAACACAAAGTATGAACAATGAAACTTTAATTAATCTAGAAAACAAATTATAAACAAAGACAATCCCTTGGCAATGTACAGTGCAAAAGAACAAGTCAAAACAATATAACATAAATGAATAATAGGGATGAAGTTACTCTACAATAATAATAAAGTTAAAGGTGAAAAATAATTAGGTGCTGAGAATATGGCACTAGCTGCGAGACATCCAGCTGATACACAGCATATATCAGTTAGTTGTTAACGGCTTGAGAGCACAAGGATATTCTGACTTCAATGGCTGAATCAAGCCCAGATATCGACTCAGGTAGAGGGCGCTGAAGTGCAGTGTGCAGGTGTGCAGTCGGCGAGTCACCAATCAGGAGCAGGCAGGCTGGGAAGGGTAGTAGGCTGGTTGATGACGAGCCGGCGTGGAGGGAGTGGAGTAGGGGGTGAGTTTGGGTACGTTTTGCCTCCTGGTCAAAACGTTTTGTGCTACTGGCAGACGTATCTTGAAGGTAGCATCTTATTCTTGAATAAATTACGTAACTTTATGTAGAGAAGAGCAGGCTCAATCTCTCTTGAAAGAGATTATCGTTACAATATATATATATATATATATATATATATATATATATATATATATATATATATATGTATGTGTGTATATCACGAAAATAAACACGTGATTAAGAATGTGACAATGTCAGACCACGGAGGAAAAATGAAACAGGAATTTCCTTAAGTACTTTCGTATATTAAATACATCTTCAGATGTATTTAATATACGAATTCTTCTTCATTTCTGAAGTCAGACATTCTTCTGTCTTCAGACATTCTGAAGATGTATTTAATATACGAAAGTACTTAAGGAAATTCCTGTTTCATTTTTCCTCCGTGGTCTGACATTGTCATATGTATATATATATATATATATATATATATATATATATATATATATATATATATATATATATATATATATATATATATATATATATATATATATATATATTATTATTATTATTATTAAATATGACCGAAAAAGTAAGATTAATAATTCTAACACGAATTTTCTCGATCTTTCTTACGTTTCTTTTCACTGTTGATGGTAATTCAAAGATCAATTCAACAAAATTCATTTTTATTTCTAGTCTGACGCGACACTTGAGCGCGTTTCGTAAAACTTATTACATTTTCAAAGACTTTAGTTTACAAACACACAACTGAAACTGAATAGAGCTTACACATCTTCGATTTTATATCTACGTTTGGGTGAGGTGGATTAATGGAGCCCTGTTGCTTATGCAACAGGGCTCCATTAATAATATATGTCATATTTAATAATATATGTCTACAGGAAAGACTGCTACCAAAATATACATATATATATATATATATATATATATATATATATATATATATATATATATATATATATATATATATGTGTGTGTGTGTGTATATCACGAAAATAAACACGTGATTAAGAATGTGACAATGTCAGACCACGGAGGAAAATGAAACAGGAATTTCCTTAAATTAATAAGGAAATTAATTATAAGGAAATTAATAAGGAAATTCCTGTTTCATTTTCCTCCGTGGTCTGACATTGTCTATATATATATATATATATATATATATATATATATATATATATATATATATATATATATATATATATATATATATATATATATATATATATATAGTATAAACTAGCCTAGAGCACGTATTAACACATAAAACAAAAAAATAGATTCCACACCTATTCTTCTTGTTAAACTTCGTCTCATAACTCATGTTTTCAAAGTTATGAGCTGGTCCGCCTCTCACGAGGAAATTAAAGAGTTTAGAGCAAGGACGTGGCTGGCGTATCAAGAGGCTGTCTCGCTCTATACCACCACTGATGACTCTTGATGAATACAATCCACTGCTGTACCCGAGCAATGCGAATGCTATTTTTTTTATCACGTTTATTTAATTGATCAGCTGACGTTGGCATATTTCACGCGCTGGGTTGTCCATTCTCAGTGCTGGTTTGGGTCGACTATTTTTCCAGTATTTAATGGTATCATGGTATTTAATATTAGTTTTTGATAAAATATTGTAGCATTACTTAAAAAAAAATGTAGTTTGGAAATTTTGTTTTGTATTTATGAATAAGGTAGTTTTATATTGATTATTTTACAGTTGTGAAATAGTAAATAATGAAGAATTTCACTCCCATTCTGGTTATCATCAGGGAAGTACAATCAAGCTCAAATATCCAACATTAGTGATGAGTTTGCTTCGAAGCATCAGATTGCAGACATGATCAACTTCCGGGAGATGTAAATGTTGAAGCAATAATCCTTTCTGTCACTTACGTTTACGACCTGTAGCTCACTATCTAACACAGTGCACAGTTACAAACCCATTAAGATTTTAACTTAGATTCGACAGAGCAGAAGAAGTTGTTAAACACATATGGCAAAATCTTACTGAAGCGATCATACGAGTCATAAATACTCATACTCCGCCCAAGTAAAATAGAAACAAGTAACAGTTAGTGGGCCAGCCAGAGGCTTAGGGCCCGCGCAGGAATATCCCTGCAAAAAAAAAAATGTAGCTCACTCTGTCTTAAGGTGTTTGTGACTGTGTATTGGCAGCTCCACCACATAAACATCTCACAAGACCGTGTAAACCTTTATTTCCAGTCAGTGAGATTGATGCCCTGGCCATCGACTGCGCTTAGTCTTTCTACAAACAAGCGTGTTCAACACTTTTTAATACTTGCTTTGTTAGAACAGATTATTTGCTGTATTCAAATTATAAACATTATATTATTGTTTAAATATTTTGAATCAAATTCAATTAAAAATAGTAATTTCGACATAATTTCTGGGATTAAATGAAACGCAAGACTGCAAACAACACAAGCTGCTGATGGAATTAAGTGAAACATTCTGAAAAACGGAGACACTGACCTTTAGGTTTCAATATTTATGAAGTTTTTTTTCTCAGCGATCCACGGCATATCCTTATCATATATATGAGTAATGACTGAGGCTGTGTGCTGAGCAATACTTTTTTATTCACTCTAACCATCACTTTACCTGTCACTACCAGTCTCTCTGTTCTCTACGGCTTTGTTATATATTTTAAACTAATATATTGGTTATGTTATCAGAAGTTTAGGTAAGACTTGTTGCCTTGTCTGTCTATCTCGCACCATTTTTTCCCTCCCTGTCTTTTGTCCTTCATGCTTAACAAGACGTAAATAAAGCTGAAGGAGCCGGTCGGCCGAGCGG